TGTATCGTTGATTGTTCGTTCCGGGTGTCGTTCATGTCTGGTTTTGGTGTTTATATTTTCCGTTTCTTTGTAATATTAGCGTCGTTGGCGCGGAGAGTTCTGCTACACTTCTGCCACGGAGGAGGTAGCGCGGAGTAGTTGCGAGTCTGCTCCGGAGAGCCTGGTCGTGATTGCTGGGCCATCATCGAGCTAGTTAATTCAAAATGAATAACTAGTCGTGAGGCTATGAGGCTAGTATTCGGGTTGGGGTTAGGCGCGTGGAATTTTCTTCTCCCTAAAGGGTAGGAAACACTTGGCTGTGTTCACTTTCGACGGTTGGGCGACACGTGTTGTTTTCGGACTACACTGGGCACTAGAGACACGTCTGCACGCTTCGGCACTCCACAGCGAACTGTCCGAAGGACCTTAACTATTCCAAGACCCCTGGTGGGTACTTAAGACTATTGAGGGTACGCGCCAAGGATGTGCAGTCATCTGGGTGCCATCCTGTCCGCGGTGTGTGGCCTGATGTGAATTGACGTTACACGCTCGTCGATACTTTGTATATGATCCGGCGGGCAGATAAGACGTTCTGCCTGCGACACTGTAGGACCGCGAGCGACGGTTAGAAAATACAGCCTGTGGTAAGCCTTGTGGCGTAACTGTAATCATAAAAAGTGGAACAAGATACCATTATAGTAAAATCATATTTTTAATTTCTTACAGTAATTTATAATAAAACAGTACAGAGAAGTTATTATGCACTTTTTTTTATTCTTAATTACTTAGTTACAGAAGTATACCGAATTATTTATTTGAAAACGTACATATTTCTTTTATTTTCATTTGAAGAATTTCAAAATTTGTAGGAGCGCGACTTTCCGTGTATGAATCTTGTAATTTTAAAGTAAGTAACTTTATAATATAGAAATAAGGTATTTTTGACAGAATTTCAGAAAAAATATTCAGTCTTTGGACAGTTAATTTGCATATATAGAGCAAAGAAAAGTAGCAGCCAGCTGATATTGTACGGAAAGATTTTTTTTTTTTGCCATTTCGATGATGTTAATCTATAATCTGGAAATTATAGCAAACAATGGAAAAGTTATCCTAAATTTTATAGAGAATGGTGCGCTCTGGATATTTATGGAAACACGTTAAATAATACATATATGTATTATGTATGAAAATTGCATCTACCTAAGTGTCGTGTCGTCAAAATATAAACGAATTTATTACGTGGCCCAATAAAACAGACCAGTCTGACGTTAAATCAGATTATCGATCTTTATCGATGAGCGCTATCGTGTGGCAGCAAAAGTGTGACTGCCGCGTCAAAATACATCATGTCAACCTCGTATATCTAGACTAAATGTATTGTTTGACCTGGTGCTCGAGGCTAGTTTCGCGCTTAGATGCGTCGAACTGTCTGTAATTGGTTTACGATCATAATTCACTTATATCGGTGATTCGGCGACACCGGCGCGGTGACAGGGAGGAAAGAACACACAGCAGGAAAATAGTTATGTTTGGATAACCTCTAAAATAATGGTTGGCGGAAAAACGGATTTAGAAGGTTAGAGAACGAAGTAAGAACGCCGATCGTAGATGTTCTACAAATAGGAATAGAAAATATTAGGATACAATCATTCTGTTCTTTGGTCGACATTATTATTGTATAAAGCTTCTTTACTATTAAGTCTGAATTTCTAAAACCAGTTCGCTCGGCCTCTAAGCTTTAAGGTCGTTTCCTTCTTACAGCTGCGAATCGATGTTAAAATTCTTGTCTTATGCTGAGAGGCAAGCGGTTTTTAATTACGGAAAATTTTGAAAGATTATTCGAATAATGGAGGTTTGTCGGTGCGGATGCGAGGCATCGTCGCAAGAATCGATCGATCCACCGCACGAGCCGTGCTGTTGCTGTAGTTACGATCCATTCAGCGACAAAGAAGCAGAAATCTACGATCTCTCGTTTGCCTTGAAGAAGCTCACTGTAATGAAGTGTCAGATGAAAAAGTGGCGAATGGAAAGACTTCAACTCGAGAGCGAAAATAGGTCTTTGAAACAAGCCCTCCAATCATTCGGTATCGATGTATGATATTTCGTAGATTATCCCCTTCTCTTCTTTTTTTCTCCTTTCTGAATCTCTCCTTCTTATTCTTTCTCTCTCTCTCTCTCTCTCTCTTTCTGTCTGTCTGTCTGTCTCTTTTTCTCTCTCTGATTCGTTTAGTAGTTAGCTTGTGCGAAATTGATTAATCGGAATTCTGTACGGATACCCTTGTGATTGCGTTTCTCCTCCCTTACGAGTTAGTTGTTTGATTCAAGTCGAAAGGAGTAACGTTCCACGCAATTAGTACTATAAAGAGCGAAACGGCAGAAATTACATACATACTGATCGTCTCGTTCAATAGTTTGCGAACAAGTGTCTTTTGTCACGTTCTGTTTAGTTGCCGACGAGAAGGTACCGTTAACTGACATTTAATGCAACTGGCAATAAGTTCCCCTTTCGGCTAACCTGCTATGTGCGGGAATACTGTCACGGAAGAGGATTAAAGTTGTTCGAAAGTAAATTAACAATATGTAATGATTTATACAAATCTTACTCGATTTCGATATTGACAATTGACAAAATGATAACCAACTCTTCAAATGGTAATTATTTGGTTGACGAACGGTAATATTATTATTCCATAGAAGAACGATAATTATTGTTACTGACTTCTCTGAGTCGCTGTATTTATCTATATCGGAGATGAAAAAACGTCGGGGTCTTTTTGAAAATGTTTGGGAAGATCCCCAAACTTTGTTCAAACTGCCGACTTTGTTTACAATTTAAATTGTCTTAATATCGTTATAAAAACATAGTTAGGTAAATATAAAAACATAGATAAGTTTTCGCAAGATATAGCTTTTAGCGGCTTTAACTGCCTTTCACTTCAATTACTGTAAACACGGTTTCAAATAAACGTTTAAAATTACCTTGATTTGAAAGAAATGTTCAATTTTATTTTCGCACAGGACGTGACACTTTAACTGAGCATTAGGTTATTTTATGAACGCAAACTGTTAAAAAAATTCTGCTTCGGGGATTCTCTTAAAAAACATGTACTTCAAATATTTTCATTTTAAAAGTTTAATCGATTATAATGGACTGCGCATTTTTATACATTTATGCGAAATTTAAAGATGGAAAAATACAGAAAATGCATATAAATATCGAAGTATTGGTTATATCTAGATATCTACTTTTTAACAGGTAAACAATTTGTATTCAATCTCCAGTTTTTTAGTTGTGTTTATAAAAATGTAAATTTTCATAAAAATTCGCAGTCTAGTTATCGTATTTTAGGTATTCGATATGTTGTTAGTTTTTTCACAAAACTTGATGGATTTCTCACCTACTGCTATAAAACTTACAGTTTTGGATTGGATAGATTGTTTCTGTTTTTAACTATGTTTTAGTTGTATTAAATATACCAATAAATTTTAATTATTAAATAACATCAAAGTCAACAAACTCGTAGATATATTTTATTTCTGTAATCTTCATTTTCTCATTAGCACCTTTCCTGTACTATTCCCATAATACATCAAACTTTCGCTACATTATTCATTTTAGGACGTAGTACTATATGTATTCAGCCGTTTTACTAGTAAATTCCGTAATAGTAATACAAACCTGTTTCGGAAGACTGTTTCGGAATGTAGACTGGAGCTAGCATCAGGGACTTTTTTCAAAATTTAGAGCGCTTTCTTTGAACAGTATCGTACATATTCACTGTTGCGAATGTTTCTAAAGATCAGATGTTTTCGTGTAGGTGTAAATGCGGATGAGATGTTGAAGCCCGATCCGCTGCTAGTGCACTCCCGAGAAGAAATCGAAAGGCTGCAAAATGCAAACGCGGTGCTGCAAGATAAAGCGAGGGATCTTGAGGAAACTCTTGCCGAGCGAGATTGCTGTGACGATCCTGACGCCACGATCCACTTTCTCAGAGAGAAGATAAGATATCTTAGAGAGGGTTTCGCGCTTGAAAAGAAAGAGTACTGTTCGCTACTTTCTCCGCTTCGTAGATCTCGTTTAATCGTTTCCGCTTCCCAACAATGAATCATTGGTAGCAGAAATATATATGTCATTGTTCATATGTATCTGGACGTTTGATCGATTAACTGTGGTCAAATAAATCTACGACTGCAGAAACATACATAGCGTTTCTTCCAAATTTACATTCACCTGAGGAAATCACACCAACATTCTGGTTATATACTAATGTTACGATAATGAAATTTCATATTTTTATTTTAGACGTTAATGTTCGACACATGTAATTTATTGTAAATTTTAACTAAACTAAGTCTGAAACCTTACATTCCTGATAAGACAAGAGTTGCTTATTTCCTCTTACGCCTTTTAAATTTGTATTTTATCCATCAAAATGTTTTGTATTTCCAAACCTGATTAATGTTATCACTTCAATGTATATCTTCTACCAAAACTATCCATGAAACATACTTCTTTGAAAATTTTTTATGACCTCAGTTGCAAGATGTCAAAGAAATGTTCTTGCTCTGACAGATTGCGAGACATGATATCGGATTTGAGGTTGAAGCTGGCGCAGACCGAAGAAGACATCAGCTGCCCCGCGATATATCGTTTAAGGGCAAAACTGCGTGATCTTATGAAAGGTGAAGCGGCTGAACAACAGATTTCCAAAGTTGTGGAGAAATCGATTGAAACCTTGGTGGATCTTTCCAAGAACTGCGATGATCTGCGTTTGGAAAACGAACGTCTTCTTGCACAAGTGACAGATTTGCGCAGTGCATTGGTTGATCTCGAAGGAAAGAAAACGCCAGAAACGATATTGCAAACGGCCGAAACAACCACAGTGCCGGAGTATATTGACATTTCAGATTTATTGTATAAGCTGAACAACTGCGAAGATATCGTGGCTGATCTAAGAAAGCAGTTAGAAGAAAGAGACGAGCAAATAGATGCACTGAACAAAGAACTGGAATCGATGATCAGTCAAAAAGGTTTAGAGGAACAGATAGAAGCCATGAAAGAGGAACTTAGGAGGAAAGATGACAAGGTATTACATCTCGATAGTTCTAAACTTAAAGTTAACGTCAGCTGGCTATTCCAAATAAGTTTGTAAAATTTATTATATAGCAGTAAAAGTTTGTTAATATTGTAAAACGATAATACCATCTCGAGTATCTAATTACCACGGTTACTTGTCAAATTCTTTAATAATCATATTGGTACTAGTAAATGTCTTCTCTATTGCATAATAACAATGTCTAATCCAAATGAAGATTCGTTACACGCCCCTAATCATAATGGGAACCCGACATATATATAAATAAAATATTTTTTAATGAAATTCGAAAATATGATATTAACCGAAACCATGATACCAATTAAAAACAATTAAAAAACTGTAGCTCCTTTTTTAGATCACAGGACTGCTGAACAACCTAAGACAATCAGAAATAGACTTATTGGGGTTATCTTCTCTGAAATCCGAAGTGGAGAACCTGAAATCAGAGTTACATGATCTCAAATCAGAGAAAACTGAATTACTGAACGAACTAAACAAACTGCGAGAAGCACTGAAGGATAGAGACGATCAGATAATAGATTTACTAGCGCAGAGGAACAACTTGGAGAAGGAGTACAAGAATAAGACGGCAGAATTACAGTCAAAACTCGATGAGGCAAATGACGAGATCGATGATTTGAAAGCTGAGATAACCAAACTGAAGAATGAGTTGGAAGAGTGCAAGACGCTAAACGCGAAGCTGGAACAGTGCTGTCTGGACAAAAACGCACTTTCGGAAAAGCTACACGGCTTCGAAGAGGACCTTGCAGCCGCGAAAGCGATAATAGCGAATCTCGAAAGTGAGGTGAACACTTTAAGGCGAGACAAGGAAAATTTGTCGAACGAACTGGGCGAGGCAAGGAAACAGATGGAGGCGTTCATTGGACAACTGGAGGATGAAAGGGGCGCCAGGACCGCATTGGAGAAGGAACTGGAGAGAGACCGAGATGAGATTGAATTGTTACAGAGGGAGATTTTCGATCTGAAAGATCAGATCGATGCCGAAAGGAAGGAGAACGACGAGCTTCGCGAAACGTTAGAAGCATCGATCGGCGAGAGGGAAAAGTTGAGCGCTCGGTTAGAGCAGTTGGAGAACGAGAACGATGATCTGATGAAAAGGATGAAGGAGCTAGACAATTTGAATTACCAGCTAAGGAACGACTACGATAGCATGAAGCAGGATTTGGACAATTTGCAAGCAGAGATCAACAAACTGGAGGATGAATTGGCCAAGGCGAAGCAAGAACGCGATGCATTGTTGAACGAGAATAATGGTATCAAAAAGCAGCTGGAACAAGCGATGGCGGAGAACGAGAGTCTGATAGCCAAATTGGACGAAACTGGTAAAGAACTTAATAAACTGAAACTACAGAAGGATGAGCTACAGAAGAGCCTCGACGGGATCAATCTTGAGAACGATTCACTGAAACGAGATATGAAAGCGTTAAGGGATGACCTTGAGGATTCCAGAAGGCAAGCGGAGGAACTAAAAGCCGCTGGTGACGCGTTAAAAGCGACGGATAAGGATAAGGTACTTGAACTTGCAAAGCTGCAAGAACAAGTAGAGAACTGCAAGTTCGAAAAGAATCGCTTAACGAAGGAAAATGATGATTTGAAATCTAAAATAATAGAATTACAAGGAAAGCTGGAGGAGATGGATAAGTTAAAAGGAAGAAATACAGATTTACTGGCTGAAGTAGATCTTCTGACAAAAGAATTAGAAAAAGCGTTGGAGGACATTGATCAATTGAAATCCGAAATAGGTTCCTTGAAGGATGGACTCGACAGTTGTGTGGGCGAGATGCAAAAGCTGAGAATCGAAAATGGCGACCTCAAAAAACAGAACGAAACCTTGAAGTCTGAGATGCAAGCAATTACCGATCACTTAATGAAAGACAATGACGATTTAAAAGCAGAAATCTCAGAATTGGAAGAAAAGTTAAGTGAATTGGATAAAATGAAACTAGAAAATGTTGATTTGCTTGATGAAGTAGATCGTTTGAAACAGGAATTGGCAAAAGCCTGGGAAGAAGTTGATCGATTGAAATCCGAAGTAACATCTCTGAAAAACGCACTCGATAAGTGCGTGGACGAGATGGAAAAGCTGAGAACTGAGAGCGACCAGCTTAAATTGGAGAATCAAGCATTCAAGTCTGATATTCACGGACTTGATGATCGCTTAACGAAAGAAATAGCCAATCTGAAAGCAAAAAACGCGGAATTGGAAGAAAAATTAGTGGCATTCGAGAAATTGAAGTCGGAAAATGAGGATTTACTTGGTGAAGTTGATCGTTTGAGACGTGAATTGGAAAAAGCCTTAGAGGATATGGATCAATTGAAATCTGAGATAGGTTCTTTGAAAAACGGACTGGATAAATGTGTTGGCGAGATGGATCAGCTGAGAACTGAAAACAGCAGTTTGAAGTCTGAAATTCAGGGAATAAGGGGCGAAGGGGACAGTTTGTCGGCGGAGTTAAATAATCTGAAGAATGAGAATTCTCTTTTGAAAGGCGAAAGAGATCGATTGAGCAAGCAATTGAGCGACTGTAAGATGGAAAACGAAAAATTCAGAGTGGAGAAGGATCATCTGGAAGCTGAAAATGAGAAGCTGAAAGGAGAGATAAACTCGTGCAAGGAAGAGAATGACAAATTAAAAGACGAACTTGGAAAATCACGGGAACAATTGCAATCATCGAACGACGAATTGAATAAATTAAAGGCTAATCTCGACAGAGCTGAGGAGAAAATTCGGTCTCTGGAGCCGCTGATCTCCCGTTTGCATAGTGAAAATGATAAATTGCGGGATGATTTGACGAGTTTGGAGAACGAGGCCAACGATTTTAAAGCAAAATTGGCTAGAGAAACGGCTGACAATGAAAAGATACAGAACGATCTGAAGATACTGGAGGATCAGGTGCACGATCTAAGTAAGAACCTGGCCAATGCTAGGACTGAAAATGACACTTTGAAACAGGAAAATCAAGGTCTAAAAGCCAAGTTATTGGATATGGATCATGATCTATCGAATTTGAAATCGGAATGTGCGGATCTGAAACGAGAGATTGCTGATCTGAAGAAATTAATCGATGAATTAAAAGAAAAAATTGCTAAACTGGAAGCAAACATAGATCATTGGAAAATGGAGAACTGCAAACTTCAGTTGGACATTGATAAATCGAAAGCTGATCTTGAGAAAGCCTTGAAAGATTTGCTCGAATGCCAGGTAAATTGTGTTGATTTATAAGTATTAACGTAAAAATGCGTATTTATTTTTATTATATTTTATTATATATTTTTATTATAATGTATTATTTAAATTTTGGTACTAAGTATTATTTTATACATACGTATATGCATAATATACATAAATTTATTAAGTATTTTAGGTATTTTAGCAATAATTTTAATGTTTTAGCGTAATTTTTCATTAAAAATATTTGTATCTTTCATACGAGAAATGTCTTTATTTATTAATTATAAATTAATTGAAAAGAAGTGAAACATCCATTAATCTACAACACTTGTATCATTTTCAATGTTCCTAAATTTGATTTTAATATCTACTAGGCTTCGAAGAAAGCATTAGAAGCAGAGATGTACCGTTTCAAGATTGAGAAAGGCGAGCTTGACAAGAAGCTTGTCGATTTAACTTCTCAACTCGAGCAACAGGAAAAAGCATTCGAAGCAGAAAAATCGGCCAGAAATAAGGTTGACTCAGAAATTGCGGCCTTGAAGGAGGAACTGGATGCCTTGAAAAAGGAACTAGGTAAATTGAGAGCTGACAACAACAGATACAGAAACGAAATAGACGACCTAGGAAGACAGCTTGCGGTAACAAAAAATGAACTGGAGAAGTGCAAAGAAGAGGTTTCTATATTAAGAGATGCTAATAACGCACTAAAGTCTCAATTGGATCTCTTGAAAAGTTTAAAGGACGAATATAATAAGTTGATGGCTGATTTAGATTCTCTTAAAGAGGAGAATGTAAACCTTCTGCAAGATAGGAAAAATTTCGAAGACGAGTATACTAGGCTGAAAGGAGAAGGCGATGGACAGAAAGCAGAGATCGATAGATTGAGATCAATCTTGAATGCAGAGGAGGCAGCTGCGGAAAAATTGAGGGCAGATCTGCAAATTTGCCAAACTGAGAACGATAGGTTGCAAAAACAATTAAACGAAGTGAAAAATGAGTTGGATGAACTGACAAAGGGAAACAATCGTATAAAGAACGAGATCGATAAGCTGAAGATGGCGCTCGCGGACGCGGAAGCAAAGATAAAGTTGCTGGAAAGTGAACTATCCGATTTGCTAGCCGAGAAAAAAGAACTGGTCAACGAACTCTATCGTTTTCGCGAACAGCTAAACAATCGTACAAACGAGCTAGAAGAGCAGATAGCCGCAAAAGATGCGGCCAAGAAGGAATTGGCCGACATGAAGGATGAGCTGACCGCTCTAAAAGCGGCGTTGGATAAGGTTCGCAGCGAAAACGATAAGCTGAGAAACGAGAACGAAAAGCTGAATGTGGAATTAACCAAGTTGAACGGGCAATTAGAAACTCTGAAGGACGATAATACGAAGCTGGGAAACGAAAACGCGAATCTGAAAAACGAAAACGCGAATCTAAAGAATGACAATGCAAAGTTGGCGACGGAGTTAACTGGAACGAAAAACAAATTGGCAGAAGTGGAGAAACAGCTAAACGATCTAGAGAAAGAAAACGACGACTTGAATAACAAAATAGCTGATCTCGAGAACACAGTGAACGAGCTCGAGCCTTTGAAGAAACAATTAGAAGATGCTAAAAAAGAACTGGATAGGCTGAGGCCAGAGCTAGATAGATTGAAATCAGAGAATGCAGAACTGCAAAACAATTTAAATAACGCCATAGAGGAATCGAATAGGTTAAGAAATGATTTGGACAAATTAAAAAGCGATTACGACAAATTGAAGTCTGAATTAGCTGACCTGAAGAAGGAGAGAGATAGTCAGAAAGAACGGAACGCAGAATTGGAGAAAGAATTAGCCAAAATAAAGAAAGAGAATGCGAATCTCAAGGGTGAGTTAGCCGATTGTCAAACAGAGAACGAAAGATTGCGTAATGGATTGACAGATTTGAAGTCGCAAAATGCAAAACTGCAGGACAATTTAAACACGGCGAAGAACGAAGTGAATAAATTAAAAGCCGATTTGGATAAATTGAAAAGCGATTATGGTGAATTGCGGTCGGAATTAGGTAAACTAAGGGATGAGAAAAATAGGCACAGAGAACGCGATACTGCGCTAGCCATGGATCTGGATAAATTGAAGAAAGAGAATGACGAGTTAAAAGATGGAAATGAGAAACTGAAAAGCCAGTTATTCGTTTGCCAAGAGGAGAGGGAAAGGCTACGCAAGGAATTGGGAAAGCTGAAAAGAGAAAATGCAAAATTGAAAGAAGGTATGATAATTATCCTTTCGATTTGTTTGGAATCCAAATTAGAAGAGCAAGTAGTTGATCTTTTGTTCAAGTCACTTTGCAAATTTAAGCAGAGTGGTTAATGAACGGCATTTAATATTATTATTTACCTCAGACAGTATCAGGTATAATTTTACAGCGACAATCTTCTCCTCTTATTTCGACTTTAAAGTGCTTGTGCTCTGATATTTTTAGACTGTAAGAAGAATATAATATATAAGTGACGCGTATGTGTTGTCCGTGATGATTGTAGAGCTGCTGGTTGTAGATGTCGCTTCTGGGGTACTGCTGTTTTTCTTCTAACTTAGGTGCGTGGACTAAAAATCGGATTCCGGTCGCCCCGGGTTCGCTAAGGCGTTAATCACTGCGCTGCCGTCGTCGAGGCTGGGTGCTATATTTAGTTTATTTACGTTTAGTCCCTTTGTAACTGCAAAATCAAGTAGGTCAGGTATTTTGCTCAGGTCTGTCGGTCAGTATGTCGGTCTTCCTGTGGATAATATATTGAGGATATTGTTTCTAATGTAGTTTTCCAGGGTTCTACCTCGAGGTGTAGTGATTCTTGATCCCCATAGTATGTGCTTTGAGTTATACTTGTCACCTAAGTGTTGAAAGTACTCTTCCCACATTTGTGATGTAATTTTGTGTCGCGGTGGTACATATATTGCTGACAACTGTAAATGGTTGCTGCTGGTTTGTACAGTAACGGTGGTTGCTTGTATATGTTCTTTACTATCTGGGCTGTGTAAGTGGTGTTTAATGTCGTTTCTTATTATTACTGCGGTCCCTCCGTGTGCTTTTCCTGAGGGATGCTTGGTATCATATATGGTGTAGTACGGTATTTTTATGTAACTTTTTGTAGTGAAATGTGTTTCTGATACGAGTAGTATGTCGATATTATTGTTGTACAGGAATGTTTTCTAGGACCCTTTGTTGTAGGCCGTTAGAGATCCAGGCTGCTATTTTAAGCATTTTTATTTTTTATTTTTTGCTTAGCATGTTTGTAAGTAGTTGTAGCATGACTGTAATTTGTTATGTTTGCTGTCTGAGGACTGCGTTCTGTTCGCTTATCATTTTTGTTAGCATTTCGGTGTTTTGAATGGATTGCTTTAGTAGTTCTTTGATTTCTGTAGCGTCATTGATGTTATTATTCTGGTTTTGGTTGTCTATGGGTGTTGATTGTTTGATTACTTGCGCGTAGCTTCGGCTACCAATGGTGTTGGTATTATTGTGGTTGATATCCATTACGTGCTGTACATTTGTTGATGTCTCAATTCTGCACTGTCTTGTTTGTGATAGTTATTGTATGTCCTATTTCGAAACGACGGAGACAGTTTACGTTGTAGTTGTTTTCTGACTATACAGCCTTTGTAGCTGGCTGGGTGGTTTCCACTGCAGTTGTAACATTTTACATTGCTTGTTTTTACCGTGTACGGGCAGTTCATTGTTAGATGCATTTCTGCGCATTTGACACACGCCGGGTTTCTGTTGTAGTAATTTTTTGTATGTCGATATTGTTGACACCGCATACATTGCAGTATGTCTTTTTTGTGTCTGGGTGGCTCGACTGTAATTATTGTGTTTAGAACTTTTTTAATTTCGAAAATTTCCTTGTTATTGTTTTTAGGTTCTAGTTCAATTAGGAATAGCGGTAGTGGTTGTTTAGTATCGTACCTGGTTATGTTGTTTATTGTTCTTACCTGATGCCCGATTTTAGCTAGTCCGTCGCATGTGTTATTTGTATTTGTTTTTGGATGTAATCCTCTGATTACTGCTTTATAACTTTTATCAGCTTTGAGCTCGTAAGTGTGATACCCGGCGTTTTTTTCTTTTAGTGCTTTTATCACTTTTCTGAAAATGTCTGTGGTGTTCGTTTGCACTTTTACCTGGTCTTGTCTTAATTGTTTTATACTGTAATTTTCTTTCCCTGCCGTGTTGTTAAGTAGTTCAATGAGGGAGTCTATAATTTGGGCATCTATGTAGATTGGTGGTGGTTTGGCGGTGTGTGTGTGTTTTTTTTGGTTTTTTCACTGGGTCTGGTTCCATTTCTTGTGGCAGTGGAGAGGAATTTCTTGAAGCCATTGTTGCCTTCCCGTTTCTCCAGCCCACCTAGCATTTCCTCGAGATCCACTAGAGGATCTCAAGAACCTGTTCCTCCGCAAGTTGGAAGAGTGGCGTCGAGAAATAATGCCAGGGGGTGCGATTCCCCTGAGCAGTGCACGAAATCTCCAGAAACCCCTGCGAAGTGCATCCGCTGTCAAGGAGACCACCCTGCGAACTATAAAGCTCGCTCTGCCTACAAAACACTGTACACAAATAAGTACCCTCCGACGAGGCAGGCTTCATTACCGTCCAAGGAGGAAGAAGAGCGAGAGCGGGGCGAAAGAACAGGAAGCCCTTGCAACCTCTTCCAACGGCCTACGCGCCGATCGGGGACGTAAGAACCAAGGGACGGATATCGTTGTCTCTTCCGTCGTCGACACTACGAACAAGTGCCTTGGTGCCAGGGACGGCGATCGGAAGCGGCGGAACGAGACCCAGGACTTTCGCGGAGGTGGTCGCTCGGCCCCTGGTGC